AATTCTGGGAGTTGAAGTCCACTCATCTTAAAGTGGCCAAGTTTGGACAACACTGGCCTAGTGAATACTGTGAGGTTTGGCTTGAAAATTAGAAAAAATCATAGGGGAAACTCCCCAGAAGGAAAAAGGATACTAACCACACAAGGTAGCAAAAAACAAAAACAAGTCTTATAGCTCCCATGCTAACAACAATATCCTGTATGAAATTTCTGCATTCCTATGCAGATGGCTAAAATATTTCCTCCAGGCTTGGAGCTATCAAGCACAAAGCCACATTCCAGATCACGAATCCAGACAGGTCCAAGCCAACCTAAACAACTGAACTGTTGGCATCTCCAAGACACTCTACTCAGTGAAATTACAAGACAGAAAATAATAATTGCCTAAAAAGAAAAAAAAATTGGTCACCCCTAACAAGATATATGTCTGGTTATCATTACAATAAATAAGCATTCCAAGAGTTGTATTGCATTTATTTTTACAAGTTTCCTGGTCTATCACGCTCACATTGCAGAGGAATGGCAATGAATTATTTGTCCCAAACCATACAGGAAGCATGCTGGCTTTCTTCTTTAGCAGCCCAACATATCAGATTGTGCTTTCTTTGTCTCTGGTAAATCATTCATCAATTCAGAAGGGTCACAACTGGAATTAACATCTCATACATCCGCAGAAGACTGGCCTTCTGGTTTTTGGAATGCTTTTTCAGAAGAGGGACTAGGGTGAGCCAATAAAAATATTTTCAGAATCTGCATTTGGATTTTAAGACCATTTTATTTAGAATCATTTACTTGGAATGTTGTTGCACTGCACTGAATGGAGAAGCAGGAACTCATGTGCTACTTTACTACAAAAAAGAAAAAATCTCAACCCAGGGGGACCAAGAATATGTTGCCATTAAGTTACTGTGATACAAGAAGCAGTATACCTCATTGGGTTAAATTAATGGTCCATTTAGTTCTAAATGGATGTTGTCGAATATAACAATTTACAAATGTAGAGACTTAGGAAAGTTCCACCTTGTTTTCATTATGGATCAGTAACAGTTGTAGATACAGAACATAATGGTGCTTGCTTGTCCTTTCTTGACTAATAGTTACTGCTATTTCCCACGTTACATGATTTTACCTATTTCATTTTGAAACACACACACACTCATTCATTCATTCTGCATCTCATAGCAAACCATTCCAAAAGTTGCATACAAAAGATACACCATTATCCTTGTTATAAGCTTCTTAGATTTCAATATCCCATCAGCCTTCTATTCTTAACTTACATGTCACAATAAATAGAATATTTCTTCCAGGTTTCTTCAAACCTCAGGAAATTTATATAAGATGGGCATACTACCTATTTTTATGGTTTTCTGTCCTTTTTGTAATACATGCATTTTGATAGCCAAGTTTCTTCATGAGTCATTCACAGAAGCTAATTTAAAATCCAACAGTGATCTTGCACACTTTCTTGCAATTATTAGGGTTAGTATTTTTATTGGATATGCGCTTATACCTCAGTGCAAGACAAGACCTATTTCTGTGCTCAGTCCCACCATCATTTTAAAGCTCACCTGTAGTTACCTGTTGGTTCCTTTTTCTTTTATCACTGATTGTGAACCTGCACTATTGTACAATGAGATGGACAGGCATGAATACATTAGCCACCTGAACCTACTTAAATCAGCTGTGGTGTAGTCAAGAGAAGACAGAAAATAGAATGCAGCTGACCAGAGAAATTACCTACACTGTGAACATTTTTTTTTTACAAATCTCACCCCCCAAACCAGCTATATGAACAAAATCCAGTATAGCTGATAAGCAGTTGCTACGATTTCTACTGCAAGATATGCAGAAACATGTCAAGCACATTATATTCTCTTGAGAAAAATGATTTTGGGGGGGAATTCCAGAACTAATTTTCCTAGGAGAACAAAATCCTTCATGTACACTGAACTCACAGTAACTTGAGCAGGAGCCACGTTCTCTGCTCTTCCTCTTTCCTTGCCTAGGGCTCTGATTTCTGGAATCCTGACCTCTAGACTGTTACTTGACAAGGAGTTTTAGTTGACATGTTGTTTTAGACATCTTCCTTTCTGAATAGGAGTTTTATAGTACGGACTGTTCTCTGTATAGCAACCCTGGCGAAAAACAAGACTTAAACAAGGGCTGGCAAAGTTTAGCTCAAACTTTTCTTCCCTTTCATTTTGGCTTCTCAATTCCCAACTGAGAGAGAATATCCAGACATTTCAGGAGGAAGCATTTGCATCTGTCTTAATAGTTGAAGTTCTCCTAACTCCAAACACTGGGCTTGCAGACGTAAGCCAACTGCTCTTTTCTTGTATTTCCATTTTACTCTCAATTCTGCAGAAATCAGAGTGAAATATTAGCTCTATGTAGGCAGGGAATGGATTGAGACAAACAGGTCTTCACTTGGTCCTGGGGCAATACCTCTGTATACAATTATAAAAAACCATCTGCTTCAGAGTGACCTGACATATTTTCACTGTGATGCTGTCTTTACTCCTCCTTTTTTGCTCTGGCATTTCAAGTGAGCTAGCTGCTATCAGCCCCCTGAATTCATCCATCAAAATTGTGATTGCAGAGGAATGTTGAAGAGGACTGAGCAATAAATAGAGGCATTGCGGCACTGCACTTGGCTGAGAAAGCAACAACTATCATCAAACAGCACACCTAGAAAGAAAGCACAGAAGAAGCTCAGCACCAAGTAAATAAACAGCCAACAGTGTTAGCACTGGAAAATGGACAGCTAGAACTACATTTCCTACTCTATATGCAACCTGGTTTTTGCTCTGCAGTAATAAATGCATTGTAACAACAGCAGGTGGACATATACTATTATCTACATTAAAATCTAGAATGAAAACCCAGATGCAGACAATAAAATTACATTTCACTATCTGTGTGCCTAAAAGACTCCATTCATTTCTCATATTGGCTGAATTCTCCTTCTCTAAGCTGCAAACATTACTTTATTATTCCAAAGTAAACTTGTGAGGAACATATTTAGGTTCAACATTAAAATACTGTAACATAATGCTTTTATTTTAGCTATCTCAAAATAGAATTACTTTTCCCCTTCAAAAGAACAGGACAAAGCTATTAGCCATAGGATATGGCAGTTATCAGCGATTTGCTTCTTTATAATGGATTGGATCTTATGAACTAAGGAAAATCACAGAGGGAAAGTTTCCAATGTCCTCCTACGGCCATCTGTGCCTCTCTCCTGAAAGTCATAGACCCTCCTGAATGTGAAAGGCTGCTGAGAAAGTGGGGAATCCATCCAATTTGGGGCAATTTTCCCCACTCCCAGTAGACTATTGCACCCTACCCCACCCCACCCCACCCCACACCTCCTGGGAAAGGAAGGGGTTGCAGGACAAAGTGTCTGATGGGATGGGAAGCTTGTCCTCCAACAACCTCATTAGTTCATGAACTTTAGGATCCAAGCCAAAGATTTCAATGCAATTAACTATAATGTAAAACAGTAAATAATATCAACACCAGATCACACTGTAAAATTACAACTCAGTCCAAAGGAACTGCATGAAGCATAAAAACATTTTGGTTGGCATGTCAAAGGGCTTCCAGCCTAATGCTCCCAAAAGGTCATTTTTTTCCACTGTTTTGCAGCCCATGACATCATAGAACAAAAGAACGTACGCATCTAACTGCAGCATTAAATAGCATTTCCCAATCGTGGAATTTGCAACTGTGTTGGAATAGCTCATCAGATTGGCTCATTCAGCCTGCAGTGTTCCTCCTACTTTCCACACCCCCAGCCCGCCCATCTCCTATGGCAAGTCCTGTGCTTGCGGGTACAAGCACGCTCTGGTTCCGCCACCCTAACCCTAACCTTTCCCAATGTGATTTGAAGAATCAATAGATACAGAAAAAGAGGTAATGTTATTGACCTGAGTATATATGAACTGGCCAGTTTTGCATAGTTTTAACAATGGTTTGATGAAAAAGCCATAATGGCCTAGTTCATACATATCACTATGCATGGAAATCATGATTTACAAACCCCATTGATTGAGCACAATGTATTGAATCCAAGCCTTCGCTGCTGGACTTCTGTTTCTTGACCAGAAGCCCTTCTGGCCATAGAGGAACATCCTTTCAGAATAGAGAGGCCTTAGGGGCAGGCAATGTATATGTGAGTTAGAGAGAAAAAAGTCCAGGTACTATGTTGGTTTGAAGCACAAAAAATAGTTCTTTGGATCCTAATACCTATAACTTAATTCTGCACTTAAACCAGTGTTTTTCAAACTTGGCAACTTTAAGATGTGTGGACTTCAGCTCCTAGAATTCCCCAGCCAGAATTCCCAATATGATGCCTTCCATATAAATGGGATTACAATTCCCATCACCCATCCTGCTAGGGTGGTCACAGTAGAAGGACATCAAGTTGGTAATGGCCAATTTAAGCAAGCAAACAAACAGCTACTGTATTGAATTTTTGTCTGTGTCTCCAAACAAAAGCATTTCCTAAATGAGCACAGCCCATTATAGCTGCAATACGTGCTATTTATTTTTCTTTTATCCAAAAATTAATGGCTAGAAAAATGATTTTAAAAAAAGAGTTTTTATGAGAGGGAAAAGCAGCACCTTTAGCCATAATAAACCACACAAATACAGTAATCTTAAACACATTAATAAGACACAATGGAAAAATTGCTACATTTATCTCTTTCAAATACTTCAAATGCTTTCCTAGCCTCCCTTTCCCTATAGATAAGGGTCTCAGTCTGTTTAAGTAAACAATTAATTTGTGTTTTTCTCCTAAAAATTTAAAGTTTATCTTCTGGACAACAAAAGCAAACAGGTAATTCAAGCTCTTGGCATTTGTTCCTTATTATAAACTGAAATCTTTCTATGCTGAATTAAATAGAAATATAGCGTAGTGTGCTTTACAAGTATAAACAGCAAAGGAAATGCACTTAAATTAAATAGTTATTAATGGGTCAGTCTGTGCCACTTAAACGTTGCCTCCTCCTTAGGGCAAACACATTTAATGTCTTTTTTATCTCTCTGCTGCTATCTAACAAGTGCCTGGATTTTTACAGCCCAGATCTGAGAGCTTTACTCTAGCTTGTTAACTAGTAAAGCTGCTATGCTAATAAAGAAAAACTCTAGGTTGTAGGAAACCTAAGGACCTATCATTGCCAAAGTCTCAGAAATGTACTATCACTTATTGCTTCAGACATGACCAGAAAAGGGTGAGGTTCTATCTAAATTCCGTTGAAACAAAGGGGTCAAATTAGCCACAGGTAGTTTGAATCAATGAGATACCAAACCCAGCATGACCAGTGAGGAGAGATGCTAGAAGATGAAAGTTAGCAATAACTGGACATTCATTGGCTCTGCACCTTCTTTAAAAGTAATTGTCTTTAAATTGGGTCTGTTCCCTTTTTGGATTTGGTTGCACATGCTGTTATACAACATTTGTTTAGCACCACTTGTATGCTCCCACATTCAGTGACTGCTATGGGCTCTGAACTAATAGCCACTCATTCAGATTGTTTGAAAGAAGTATTATTTAACTAGACATGAAAGAAAGAGCACAGAGCAAAGAAGAGCAAAGAAAAGCTATGGCTGTCTAGTCAGACTGCATCATCAGCAAAAAAAACAAAAACAGAACCAGGGAATGGGGAAATGCATGCAGCTGAATCCACATTGTTGCAATGATTATTTATAAAGTAAGATGTGATTTCCAGACCAACAAGATATTTTTTTCCACTGGCTTCGCATTATCCAACAGGCCAAATCAGGCACTGATGGAAGGAAAGATGACCTCTACTTATGACTCACACACCATAGTATTCTTTTCCCCCTCCCTGCTGTTGATACTCACATAGAGATCAATTTTTGGGTCTCTGCTTTGCCCGCTTCCTCTTGCTGCGTCCCTTGAGTCTCCTCCTCCTTTTGGAGGAAAGGGGGGGGGGGAAGAGTGGGTGGGAGATAAGACATTGCAGAGAGTCCCAGCCTCCAGAATCTTTAGTAATGCCACTTACCTCCCTGACTTCAGAGCATCTTGTCGGGGCCTGGGGGAAGAGAATGAGACAGGCACTTTCAGCATATGGTGTTGACTGCCACATACATACAGGGCACTTAGGAGACCTAATGCTATGGGCCCAGCCAAGGGAAAGGTCAGAGTCCCTGTCCCACAGCCTGAGCTCTGCCTCCTTAAGTGTGGTTCATGCTATGCTGCCTTTACCATCATGCTGGCTGTGTGCCAGCTGATTCAGAAATTTCCAGACTCTGACAAGGGTAAGAGTGGGCAGAAAGACTGAAGTCTAGAGCAGAAGTGGGGAACCTTTTGACATTTTCTAAGAGGCCCAGGACTACAGTAGGACCACAACACTCAAGAGGGCAGGGTCTGGGTTTTCTGATTTTTGCTGGGGTTCTGTTTTTTTCAACTTATGTTCAACCTACTTAGGACTTCTCTTGTGATGTGTCTTTTCCACATTAAAGGAGTGGAAAGTCCTGCTGATGTTCAACAAGAATGATTAGAGAGGGCTCTGAGGAATGGCCCCAGAAAAGGCCCCAAGAATGACAAGGCTTTGTTTGCTCAGCCCTGCTTTAGAGTAATAAATGAAGTGTGAGATGACAGGTAGAGAGCCGGATATGTCAGATTTACAATGGGTCCTCCAGGGGACCCAGCAACTGCCTAATAATGCCACTCTGCAAAGAATTGGCTTATATAGGGAGATTACATCTTCAAAAGAAATGGGGGGGGGCCTTTTAGGAAAAAAAACACCAAACAATGAAAGTTTCAAAAAGAGAGCTCTTGTTCAAGAGGCAAAGAAGCCACAAAGCATGATCATAACAAGGGCTAAGAAGAATCAGTAGTGCACATCAGTCCCCAAATATTACTAATGAGAGATCTTCCATCCTGGGTAGTTCTAGAGGCTTGATCAACCAGATGCATAATTAACTTTGAGTGACAGAGCACGAACTGGACACAGGCTGTTCCTTCCTTCCTTTGGGGAAGATGAGGTATCCATAAAGGTCCCAAGTATCATGGAAAAACAGCTGAATTGGAACAGCTGAATCTACCACATTTTATCACATGGTTTCCAGATTATTAAGCAACAAGCATGCATAACATCTGTTGGGCTGTCTACATGCTGAACTTCTATTACAATGCAGAAAATATACAAAATGCAGCACCTGGTGCTGAATTCAGCTTCCTGAGAATTTTGCCTTAATTCTTTTTTAGTTATTTTAAAAACACATTTCTAACTCTTTCAGCAGAATTATGAAAACAAAGAAAACGTTCAAGAAAATGTTTGCAAAACTATATAACCATAGTGGTATCATATATGCATACATACATTATCTACAGATCACAGAATTCAATCTATTCTCATATAGACTTTGATTTGCTTGGGCCCTCTTGATGATGATGACAATGACAACAGTAGCATGCAGAACATACAGAATCTGTTTGTGTTAATTTTGTATTTGTTTGTCTTAATCTTACTATTAAGAAATTGTTAGTTTATGCAATTCAGATTAATTCTGTTTGCCTACTAAACTCTAATTACTTTAAAGAATGGCAGAGTAAGAGATTTAATTATTCTGCCAGCCTTGGTTCCAACAAAACCAACAAAATCTAATTCTTTCTGACAAATCACATAAAGGCAAACTGAGAATTGCATATTTGGGCTCATGAAGCAAAGAAAGAAGGATCTGTAAGTCAATACCTTGATCTCTTGGAAACCTTAATTTAATCTTACATCTGCTAATTTGGATATGGGAAAAACAAAATTAGGTTTTGAGGAACCCAATGAAAATATATTCCTTTTAATACATAGGATGAAATATGGTGGGGATTGGTAGAGCTTATTATCATGATGTCAGTCAAAAACACTGTGTAACTATTAGAGTGACTGTGCAGAGTACAATTAGTGTGTAAAGTAGCAATTATTAGAGTAATTGTGTACAGTAACAATTGGAGAGTAACTGTGAACAGAATTTATTTCAGAACATATTGATGTATATCTGGGTGATCTGCTATAAACCTGAAGTCAGGTTTTATGACTCCAAATTAACTAACACTAACAATGCAAAAGCTTTCTCTCTTTTTCTCTCTTTCACCATGAAAATTGAAAAAGGATCCTGAGTAGAAACCCAAATGTTTGTATGGTAAGCTTGATGCTGGTGCTAATCACAAAACCATGCAGAGACATCTTGTTTCTAAATTCATAAAAGTTATATGTATTGCTTCAGTTGCTAGACCTCAGTGTTCCAGTAAAAAGTTGATCCTGTGAGTCTGAAGTCTGCCTATCTCTAATGCAAGTCATGAGACGTTAACAGGAAGCTGAAGTACCAGTTTCTGAAGTATAAGAGCAAAGATCTCAACTATGAGGCAGATTCTGAAGGAGAAGGATTTGTGAGGTATATTAAAAGCCTCCTTTCCTTTGTCCCCTAATTTGGACACTGTGAAGCACTGGATGCACCAACCAAATGCCACAGCAAAGTTGCTCACCTGCATGCACATTTCCTGTGTTCAATGAACGACAACTCCACAAAGGGTACCTGATCCTCTGAATTGATCTTCATGAGCTGAAAGGGTAAAATCTAAGTAATTTGTTGAGCATCTTCATCCCTTTTCTCATTTCTCCCATTTGGCCAAAGACCTGGACCAGTTTTTCTGAGATAGAATGTCCAAGTATGACTCCATCCCCAGAGCCATAGATTAACAAAGAAGATAGTGTTTTTCTTTCACATCAAAGGGAGAGTTTCTTGGCTGACTGTATCCATGGGCCAGACAAGCAATATGTTAAAGTTATTTATGCACGTGTTCAGTGGTGTGCTGCTAAATGTTTAATATCCGGCTCTGTTGGCTCCATGACTGCTGCCGCACTGCAGAACAGCCAATTGGCGCACCAGGCGTCGAAACTCAGCTCTGCTCTCATCCCGCAAAATTCCAGAAAATTTAACAGTCAGCTCTCATAAGCTGATGAGAGTTGGCTCCAGCACACCACTGCATGTATTGCACATAACGTATGCCTGCATACATTACATATGCAGCCAAGTAATCTATCTGATCTTTACTTTTAAAAGTAACAACCCAGGAGGAACAATAATAAGCAGAATCTGGGCAATGTTGCTAAAGTTGTTTTTAATTCTTTGTTCCTGCATCATATTTCCAGAGAAAATGACTGAAGCTGCTGTTTCCCCATGGGGCAAATAGTTATTTAGCTAAACAGCTGATATTGCCTTCTAAGGCAGTGGCAGATCTGGGGAGGCAATTCTTACCATGAGGCAGACAAAACTCACCACCCCTCCACACCTGCTACAGGAGTCCTCGCTCACTGACTGCCTTGTTTAGCAACCGTTCAAAGTTACAATGGTTGGGGAAAAAAACAGCATTGCTACCAATCCTTGCATTTATGGCTGTCACAGTATCCCATGGTCATGTGATTGCTATTCAGGTGCTTCACAACTGGCATGCATTTACAACCATCGCAGCATCCCACAATCACGTGATCGCCATTTGTGAGCTTCACAACAGGCTTCCAACAAGCAGAATTAAGGTAAAATGTGGAAGTGAAATTGCAAGTCGTGGTCACGTGATGCCTCACTTAACGACTGCGGCTCTTAGCGATGGAGTTACCAGTCCCAACTGTGGTCAGTAAGCGAGGACTACCTGTATTGTCCCAATTTTATACAAGAAGACACATATACCTTTTAAAGTAAAAAAAATACTACACAAATTCCTACATACACTGAATGTGTCATCCAATCTGGTTCTAAGGCAATTCCTTCATCTGACCCCATAACAGAACTGCCTCCGTGTCTCTTAGGACAATGTTTCTCAACCTCAGCAACTTTAAGATGCATGGACCTCATCTCCCAGAATTCTCCAGCCAGCATACTGGCTGGGGAATTCTGGGAGTTGAAGTCTGCTCATCTTACTGTCCTCAAACAATAGAGCTGTGGGGTTCTGAGACTATGGGAAAATAATGTACAGTTTTTTAACCAAAATATTAAGATCAGTTCCAGAGGTTCATTCAACTGCTGTGGAGCCTCAGCAGTGAACATTAATTTCTTAGCAGCAATCTCCGTCTGAACTGCATCTGTATGACACAAACAAGCACTGGCAGCTAACTAGAGAGAAAGTGAGGAGGCAGTTCTGTGCTCCAGGACAAGTGGGACTATAGTGTTGTCACCTACCTGCATGGTGACATTGGCAATTTCCACTGGGACACATTGCAGCACCTCATCTCCACAGCATCCACAGCAGCGACGCAAAGAAACACAGGAGGGGCTGAACACGTGCTCCACTTCATTTGGGTATTCCGATACAACACTGACCAGTTTTTCCAAGGGCTGGCACGAGCTGCGATTCCAAACATCGTGAAAGGATACCACTAAAAAGACGCAAAAGGTATGAAGGTAAAGCGTTTAGTTACCCAGTTCCTTCATATATCCTGTGCAAAAAGTGCATATGGGAAGCCATTATGTCTCTCTATTGTGTGTTGGCCAGACCGCACCTAGAATATTGTGTTCAGTTCTGGGCACATTTTAGGAAAGATACTGACAAGCTGGAGTGTCTCCAGAGGACAGCAACCAAGAAGACAGGGGGCCTGGAAGGGAAAACATTTGAAGAAAATTTGGAGGCACTGCATAGGTATAGGCTGGAGAAGAAGACTGTGGGAAGACTTGAGAGCTGCTTCAAGTATGTAAAGGACTATTACGTAGTAGATGGGACAGAATTTTTCAAAGTTTTCCAGAGAAGAGGACAAAAATAATGGGCTTAAATTACATGGAAGTAGGTTTTAGTTGGACATCAGGAAAAATACTCAAATAGTAAGAGCTGTGTAATAAGACTTCCTTAGGAAGTGGTAGGGTATCCATTGCTGGAGGGGTTTAAACAGAGGCTGGATGGTCACCTGTTGGGAATACTATAGTAATAGATTCCTGTACTGGGCAGGGGATTAGACAAGATGATCTCCAAGATCTGTTTCATTTCTTACATCCTATGCCTCTAGGCAGCTGTCTTGCCCCTATTTCAGTACTATCTACATCAAGGTTAGCAACATGTCACTTATGAGTGCTAGGGATTCAGTGAACCTTAAAAACCATGCCTATATCCCCCACAGTTTAATCATTTTGAGAGTTCAACCAAAACGGAGGAAACCTTAAAAGATTCCAGAGTCTTTATGAGATCTCAACCCCCACCCCACCCCAACACACTGTTTTTTGGAGGGCCACAACCATTATTCAAGATTGCACAATGATGTCTGTGTGGCCAGGGTTCAAAGAAATTGCTGGCTTTTCATCTACTGAATGGCCATGGTGTTTCAAGATGTTGAGCAAAGGTCTTTCCCATCAAATATGTTGAATCCTAATCTTTTCACTGGAGGTTGTGGACTAAAACAAGATCAGTTAGGTTAAAAGTAACAGTAAACTGACTCTTTGCAATCAGCAAGATTTAAAAAATATACAAACAGTATTTACTGGGGAAGTGAAAATTATTGGAATTGTAGAAATTGCAGGAAAAATCTTTTCCTCTGTGTTCATATTGCTTTTCCTCAAAGCACATATTAGTTGAACCACAGTACTTTCCCTTCTTTATTAAATCAATTTCTACAGATTTCAATTATTACAGACCTTTTAATCTAAGTAAACAAGGTAATAACTGAAAAGGGGAAAGGAAAAACTTGGAGGGGGGGGGAGAAAAAAAGTTATATGGAAATCTGTAATCATTGCATCATCTGTTCCATTATTCACAGCACCCACTGAAGGTACAGTATTGCTTTCTGAAAAGATTTGCATGTTGAATAGAAAACAAAACAAAAACCATGTTAACATTATGTCTTAAACTCGCCATTGGCTATAATATAAGAAGTTGCAGACTGGGTCAAGAGATTCACAAAAAAGGTGGAAGGTTTTTGAAAAGAAATACAAGGGGTAGCATCAAAGCACATAAACAACCTCCAAGACTCTTCCCATTGTATATATTTGCTTGTGACCAAATTTACACTACAAGAGAAGGTCATGCCTCATACTCACCTGCTGTGTCAGTAGTGCTGTTCTGAAGAACCATGTTTTTCTTCTAGGAAGAGAGGGGAAAAAGGGGGAAGAGGTAATTTTCCCAATACATTCCAGAAACCGAAAGGCAGAAATGCTGACATAACACGCCCCACAACCCTTCTCCAAGAAGTTTGGGGGCTGTAACAACCACACTTTTTAGCACAAATGGCTTACAGCTGAGAATCCTAGGAGTTGCAAACTTAATACCTCTCAGTGTCTATAAAGTTGGAATTCAGAGATATGTGACAGTCTTCATATGTTATTTTATTTTGTTAAAGAAATGATAACACAAGGAAAGTGTCCACAAACTTCAGCTCAAGGCTTCCTAGAGTTTAAAACATTCATTCATCCCTTAACAATAGGAGAAGTCTACTTGTGGTTTGGTAAAAAATCTGAAAGTAAAGATGAGGCCTTATTTAAAGTTCTGCCAAGCTCATACCAGCAGAACATAAGGGAAGGAGGAACCATCCTTCCATCTTACTTACTTTTGTGTTTTCCCTCTCTAGAGGGAAATTTATACTAGCAGTGAACATCTCTCTCAATTTTGGGAGAGGGTCAAGAAAATAGGTTTCAAGCATCCTATTCTGATGATGTTATCCTGTCTTCTTGCAATTCCTAAACATTGTGTTAGAAACACTAGGTGTCAGTCTAGCACACAGTCCAGCACACAGTTTCCCATATCTAGCCAATCTAACATTTATATAAAGGTGGGGGAAGAGTCAGTCAGTGATCAAAGTAGAATGCAAGAAAGGAAGAGAACAGGGCAAAACAGAATTAAGTACAGGAGATGCAGCATGCTCGTCCTAAGGCTAGACATGAAGATGCTAATATGAAAAGAGTATGGTAAAAGAAAATACTTTTGGACTAGCTTCTACATATGGAAAAATGGCAAATTTTCCAAATTTTATTCAGTCAGTTAATGAATTTGATCATTATAATTTTGAAGCAACTCATAGTAATTCATAACAATGCTTAGTTCAGTAAGAAATTCTTGCATAAGCACAAATGTGGCTGTATATAGTTGAAATTTAATAATTTGATGGCCTGCCCTGCATAAAGATGAAAAATAATCAGTCATTTGCAGCTAATAACAAAGGTTGATAGCAGTAATCCATCACCACTTGTCACATACATGGGTATACCAGCATATTGCATTGTTTTATTCACAGAGGATAAATCCCCAGATTTATTGTCTGTGTATATTAAATAATAATCTGGATGGTCTGGCCATCCAATATTTCTGCATTTTAAAGTTTCTGCAGTCAACTGAACCCTAACCCAATGAATGATTGTACTGAGCTACTAAAATATGAGGTTCCTACTGGATGCTACTTTCAGAACATGGGCTAGATCCCAAACCTGCCTCAGAAACTACTGGACTTTCTTGCAACCTGATGCTGTCCAGATGTGTTGGATTACAGTCCCCATGTTCTCAGTCTCTGACCAGGCTGGCTGGAATGTTGGAAGCTGTAGTCTAACACCACAGAGGGTGTTGAGCTGGAAAAGCCAGTCTAGTGTCTAAGAGCAGACCAAGGCCAGAAGGCACTCAGCAGGAGTAATTTCTTTTAAATAGTGCCAACAAGATGAGCCGTTCCATCAATTCTGCAGAAAAACTAGTTTTCTCCTTTTTCCGAACTGTATTCAGCTAGTCATTATGCAAACTAACATTCTGAACTTGCTTTTTTCCCTCTTTCCTCCCTTTTTCTTTTTGTATTATGTCTGACATAGAACCCACTAACCAGGATCAAACAAGCTTAGTATCTGGAAGAAAGATTGGCTAGAAATATCAGGGCTGTGGACTAGCCTGGGAAGTAACAGTAAAATAAAGGCAGCAATTGCAAACCACTTCTGTATCGTTACCATGAAAACAACATGGATGTGTCCATGTAGGTATCAGGAGTCTAGTTCAACTTGAAAAGGGGTTTTATTTTTATCATGTCTATTAGATAGTAAGGCTATGAACAACCCCCACCCAGCCCTGTATGTAAGCCTCTCTCATTTTTTAGAATACTTCTACCAAATCATTTCTGAAGCATACAAACCCTCTAGTGCTTTCGATCAGACTCTTCTTGACCTCAGTGACTGCATTTGCACAGCCTTCCCCTAGCTCCATTAACTAACTGTATGTGTAGGATCATAGCAACTTTACAGGTGGGTTAAAATTAAATACTTGGGGAGGTAGCAAAACATCTACTGCAGAATAGAGAGAATTGGATTTTTCTTTGCAAAAGCTTGAAAAAGCTACACAAAAGGAAACTTCCGTGTTCCACACAGTAATCTGGCTCTCTGATTACTGTATCGATCTGGAATCTCCATTTCACTCATAAGAAACTGTGGAGAAGGATGGAAAAGAGAGAGTATCCTGTATAGTACGTCAGTATGATAGGGGCAATTAAAGAATGTTTTAAAAAATTACTGAATTTAAACTTGAAATTTGGTTCTCCTTCAATTTGTGCCCATATCTATATCAAAGTTATCAATATTTTCTAAACTGAAGGTTGTGTTGGGAATTCCCTCCACCCCCTTCTCCAAGCCCCATAGATTCTACATGCTGCTCTACCACATCAGAGTTTTATCCAAGTCCCCATTTCTGCTCTTCAGTGCGGAAGTTCTTACTTGGAGCTTCTGAGCAGGTGCAGAAGATCTTTCCTCTCTACTAAATGGTTCTAACCATCTCCTACATATCTAGGCTTTCAGGTCAGAAGGTGGCTCTTTCCCTCCATGTTTAAAGCTAAGCACATGACGATGGGGGCTTTAACTTGTGCCTTTAACTCCCCAGGGTTTCGCCTCGATGTTCGCTCTTCACCTGTGAAACACCTGGCAGTGTAGCTTCCACATATCTGAGACTTGGGCAAAACGCCTCGGAGGTCAGTTCCACCTCGGTTCTTCGCCTTTTAGTAAAGAGATACAGAGCCGGCTGCCGAGGCTTCTTCGCCCAATCCTCTCGGAGGAGAGTGGGGGACACAATCTCCCGCCCGCCCGCCACAACCAGGAGAGTGGCAAGGGCGAATAGCGGGCTCGGGCATCGCACGCCCAGCAGGCAGAGCGGGACGCGAAGTAGCAGGCTACGGCACAATGTATCCACCCCACCCCAAAATCCGGAAATTCCCCGAAATCCAGCCCGCCAGGGATCGGGAACAACTAATTAGTCAGTTCGGAAGTTCCTCTCACCTGCGCGCCCACCATCTGCAGAGCAAGAGCTACGAGGAAACCGCAGAGAAGTTGCATCGCGGCCGCCAGCTGCTTCCACGCGTGACCTCCAGGATCAATCAATGGACTGTGTTACTGCCGGCTTTCGGAAGACTCCGGGAAGAAGCCAAGGCGCCGCGTTTCCCGGATCCCCGGTGTCGCTTTCGCGACGAGCCTCTTGTGTCTCTGAATCAGACACGATTCCCGCGCGCCGAGTGAGGAGCCGCTTCCAGCACGTCGCCCACCTAGCTCCGCCCGAGGCTGCTGCGACTGGGAGTGAGATTGCGGGTAGCTCCTGTTGCCCCAGGGCCATGTGAAGGCTGCCCGCCCTCCAGCTCCTCCCTCGGACTCACGCCCTCGCTCCCTGTGGCTGCAGCCCCGGGGGATTTCTGGAGGGCGTTTCCGGTGGCCCGCCGTGCTCGTTTAGCTGAGCTAGGGGGCGCGTTGCAAGATGAGTGCTGTTGCGGGAAAGCCCGGGTGACCTCCGCCGGGAAGGTCCTGGCCCCGATAATCTCCAGGGTCATTCAGTAAGGCCTGCCTGCTCCGAGACACGCTCCACAACAGGCGCTACTCTCCACGGCTTGCTGGTTGAGAGAGGGAAAACCAACAGTATTTTCCTTCTGAGAGTGAACGATAGCCTGAGGATGTTACTACGGAATTCCTGCTCGCCGTGTACTGATTTTCACCTTCCCTACCTTCTTTCATCTTGAGAGGTTCTTAGAGCAGAGGCTTTTTGATGCCTGTGGTGGAGCAATAATAGTGCCGCTCACACACACACCCCTCAGTGGAAGTGCAAGGTGTCCCATGAATCAAAGCACTTTTTCAGAATAAGATAAAAACAATTTTCAAGCATCTCTCCTTGTCCTTGGTAGTAAAAATAAAAGGGTAACAAAATAAAAAATTACAATGTCCTGATATTTCAGGATACTCAAGATCTGCTGCCAAGCAGCTATTTTTATTCCATCTAAAGTTAGGACTGTCCCTGCTAAGCCCCAGATCATGATTGTGATGATGCAATGTGTTAAAAACAGAGTACAAAGTATCAACCTTCAATTAACACAGACATAACAGGACAATGAAAGCACCAAATTGAACAGAAGCGATAAAATTCATTTTAGACATCTGGGTGAATTAAAATGGCCTGACCTCAAAACAACAACAATGTCAGCATTAGCGGATCTTGCTTAGGAAAAGACCCTCTTGTTTGAGTATACATTACATACCTCAGCAGTGATGATGCTTGGAAAAAGGGCTTTCTTGAAAGATTTTAACGTATGGATGTGAGCTGGAGGAACTCTTTGAGATCTGTAATGGGATGCCTTTGAGGGTAAACTCACAAACTAGGAAGGCACTTCTGTGCACACACGACATTAATCCTTCCCCTCTTTGGATTTCATATAGAAATTTTTCATTAGAAAATTGCAACCAATTCAGCATCTGGGCAAACAGCCTAAAACCTATTTGAACAGTTGCACTATATAGTTTGCGCTTAATTGTTCACACAGGAGGATCAGAGTTGTACACATTAGTTTTGTCATGGCCAACTATAAAGGCCTTCGTTAAATATGAGTACTCTTGACAGGTGCCAGTCACTGTTCTTTAGATAGTCCACCTCAGAAAGTTCAAACATCCTTCACTTCCAACTCAGAAGGGATCTAACATGCATATAAACATTTGGTGACTAGTTAATTGTCACCCTTTCAAAATTTAAATGTAATTGTTGCATTCCATATTTTGTCTTGTATTTTGGTTGCATTGGTTATGTTTTCTCTTATTATAGTTTTATATTTTTTACAGTTTTAATTTTAATGATGTTTACTCTGGATGTTTGAGTTGGTTGTATTTTTATTGGATTGCTGTAAACCACAGTAAGTCTACTGTTTTGGTAATAGGTAGGTAGGTAGGTAGACAGATATAAGTAAATATGCATCCATATATGTAATATCAGAGAATATCTGTAGCTCAGGGTTGAACTGTGGAGTTCTTGGTGCTCTCTGAGCTTGGCTGTTTGCTTGCAGATGTTTCATTGATAACATTGAAACTAGGTAACATCATCAGTCCAAGTGAGTGTGGGGTTTGCTGCCTGTTTATATGTATAGTTTCTCCCATAGTGGGGCAGAATCTTGACTGGCCCAGAAATCAGCATCATTGCATTCATGTAGAGCCCCTTCTTATATTTGTCAAACCTGGTGGGGGCTGTAAGCATGGGCATCTGTGGGAAGAAAGTTTAAAAACAGTAAAGATGACAGGCATGACTTTGTAATCAAAATCCTGTCCCTTTTAACAAGCATCAACATGACACACTCATTAAAAAGATGCAGGGTTCAACTGAGTGTTCACACCCATCCTCTTGATTTCTTTTACCTGATCCCCCCAAATGCCACTGGTTGTAAGCATCAAACTTTTCCTCATTTTGCATCCTGCAGTGTGATACCTGAGTGATTGTTTTGCTAGATTTTTGGCTTGAAGCAACTGTGTCTTTTTGACATGTCATTTTTTTTTTTGCACTGTTGCTTCCTATAGCTTTTAAAATGTTTTATTGTGGCTTGATGTATGATATATTATTATCATTTGAATTTTATTTCTTTGAAAGCTATGTAAGAGGATTTTGTTCTGAAAGAAAGAAGGAAGGAAGGAAGGAAGGAAGGAAGGAAGGAAGGAAGGA